AATGCCGCGGAAGCCGCCGCTGCCGTGCAATTTTCTTCATCGCGCGGATCTATCTATCTGATGCCAAGCGATGATTGACAGCAGCGTTTAGAACAATTTCAGTCAAGTGTGCCGACATTTTCACATACTCTTAGACTCTCGGAAATTTTAATCATATTTACCACGAAGAAATAATACATGTTATCATAGTTTTTTTCCTAAATGTACAGATTAATAATTACTAATAATACAGACTAATAATAATTATCTAAAGAATACAGATCGAGACGAGAATATTCAAGCCAAAAATCAGAAATAAAAAATTGATAATCTTTTTATATTGATATTAGAAATTAGCGAAAATATTATGTTAAACCAGTGCACAAGTAATATCTTTTATTCGGCACATTATATTTAATATCATTCTTGAATTAATACCGCAAAGCGTTGAGAAATTCACGCGCCGGACATTAAGTAAATTCATTCCTAGCTGCGGTATGCATGAACTAAATTATTTATATGTTAACTAAATTATTTATATGTTAACTAAATTATTTATATGTTAACTAAATTATTTATGCGTTAATTAAATTATAAATAGTTACATGTATACCATAATTAACGAGTATTCAATCTCAATCATCAAAGTTGAATGACAAGTGCACGATGGGCGCGTTTCGGAAATGTTATTAAGATTAAAACCGCATAATTATCCGGCTGATATCGAGGTAGTAGAAGTGATCCATAATGAAAAGTTAGACGAGCAGAACTAATATTTAAAACTGCGTCCTCTTGACGAACAAGCGTATCGCGCGAGCCCGATGAATATGCAAAAGTCCTTCTCGAATCATATCTGACTACACAACTGCCAGTTTATATTTCATGCATTCAGATGACCTTCTTATATTCTATCTCAAGGCGAATGGCAACGTGGTGGACTTGAACCATGTCGTCTACTGTTACCTTCATTAGATGCCGTTTAAAAACCCGGTCCACATTTCTCGTGAAATTCCCGCAGCGGTGTGGTATGCAAATCCCACTCAATTCGCACGAACACGGGGAAACTCTTAAAGCCTTTTATGGTATGCCTTCTCTAAGACTGAATTCGTGGTCTGAAAGTCGGAGTGCTACTATATTCTTCAGTACGGGGAGATATTATGAAACGACTTTTCGTGCAAGTTACACATACACTGCGCGCAGCTGAGGATTTTTAACCCCTTTCTAAGAGGTTACGTACGACACGTGCAGATTTATATTTACCGAGTGAAGAATATATGTACACACGAGTGTATCGTAAAATCTGACGCATTCTTCACGTTTCCTCGTAGAACACAAAACTTTTCTTTTACTTAATACAATAAACGATGCGTATAACTTAGAACCGTTTGTTGCTTTTACAAGAGAACAGCTGGTATTATTGTTGGAAAGTAATGAAAAACTTTCGCATTTCTGTTGGTTCATTATTACAGAACTGTAACAATTTCTTGGCAATAATAAACACGTGTGAGAGAGAAACGCGCCTCAATATTGAGAACTTTTATTCTGCTCATCCTATATCTGACATCGGATACAGCCAATATATTCTCCTCCCCCATACACCGCGTTGCTTTATAAGATTATGATTTTTGGCCCAATTTTGTCCCGTTGAAATTCGCCGAGACATTTCGGCCATCTTATTAATCATGATAACTAGCAATGATAAAACTTTAACGTGTAACATTTAATCCGTTCTCTCTTTAGAAATTTAACTATTATCTTTATCGTATAAAACTTTACCGATTTTATATTAAGATAGTTTTACTTTTCCAATAAATGAATCTACACAAAAAAGTAAAATTATTTTCTCTCTAATTAAATTAAAAAATTAAATAAAATTAAATAAAAATTAAAAAATTAAATAAATGAAAAATTAGAAAATTGATCATTGAATTAACATTATTTATTATTCTTAACGTTTATTATATTATTCTATTATTATTCTATATTATTCTATATTATTTTATATTATTCTACAATAAGTTTATCCTCTTTTTCCTTTTCACAAAATCATTATGCCAAACTTTTATGTTAAAAAAGCATGTAGGCGATAATAACAGAATCATACTAAACTCGCAGTCAGCAAATCCGTGATAGCCCTCTTTGCAAAGCGCTTTATATTGCGCAAGCCTATTATGTTATCAGCCATATGTGTTATAAATTATAGCAATAAGAGCTCCCCACGGTTGGATGGTCTGCTTTATGTTTATGACCTCTTATAAAAATTTTCTATTAAAACGACAAATGCCGTTCATTATTGCGAAATAGGTAATACATAGTTTAATATGGAAGAGTAATGCGCTAGATTATATTTAGTTTCTTTCACCGTGAAATTTTCCTTTTATTACGATGAGACAAAAAGCTACATGTCGAACTTCGCTAATCATGCACGTAAATTGAAGATTATTCTTCGATCGTTTATTCGCGAAACTAATTTTGAAGCATCAGTTTATTCAAGACTATCTAGCTGAAATGATATAACTAAAAAGTTGATTATCGAGAATAAGGAATGAAAACTTTTACGCTAACGACAGTTTATAATCCAAAAGCGCTCCACGATAATTAAATATTTATTTAATGAGCAATTCGAAATAGATAAGTAGAAAACGTCGCCTCAAATCAGATACTTGAACAATATACAGATATATATAATAGTTTCGAGATCTATTGATTAATACTAATATATTTAAAATTATCAGAATTATAATGGCTCTCTTCCGTTGTTCTCATTGATTGATAAAATAAAATTTGTTACGGAGAAACGAACTTATATTCACATCAAATAATAGAGAGAATCACAGGATATGAGTGTCACATTTACGAGTGATGTGGAGTGCCACTCTCTTTACGCGTCGTTTAAATTGTTTCATTACGCTTAGTTAAGAATCAGGGTTATGAAAAATATCGATCAATAACGTGAAATCACGAAGACTGACAGGAGTCCTCTCGTTTTATTCGTAAAGAGGCACTCGACTGCGCTTGCGGGTTCTTCGTTAACTCGACTCGCACCACGGATGTTTTGAGATTCACTTACGGTTTGACAAGTCGCCCACATTCTCGACGCACTTACGCGAGCGAAGGAAGATGCGCGAAGGGCCGACAAAACAAAACACACATCGTAAAGTACTCTTGGTGTGTAGAGAGGATGAAACCTGTTAGTCGCTATTGAAGCAAGTGAGAAAAGTGGCTGTGAGAGAGATGCCTGACGATGCATAAGGGCGCGTTTCCAGAGGATGGCTTATCTCTCGCCCGGCTTTGCGAAGCATTGAGATTTATTAACACGACGCCTGACGCGTTGGATGTCTCTCCATAAATTTCACGGTTGCAAATTTCTGGGAATTCGTGCCGATATGCTCGTGGTTATGAACCATCGCATTTAGCTTCTGATTCGGGATTACAGCGGAATAAAGCTCGTCATTCCCGGCATGGTTTCCTCTATTTACGGCATTTAAGTATTACGGTGCTCGTCGATTCATTTTTAGAACGTGTGCGCGAAAGCGTTGTTTATCAAATATGAATGATAAATTTGTAATATGTGTGTATTACAATCGTTATTGTACTTTTACGAAATCGATTTGGTGCACTTTGTGTGTGTTTGCCATATATACAGAATTTAATTTACTTCAATCTCATTCAATTTTCATATAATATTTGCCGAACAAATTCCCTGACCAATTCTATCGGATACAGCCATTGGTAAACGGCCGTATTTATTTTCTTTTATTGAATCGGAATCATTTCATGAGATTGTTTTTACCAGATTCATATTTATAACACGTTTCAAAGTCTACATTTATAGTGTATCGTTAATTGTATAAAAATATGATCGACATGCTATCTTTATTTCTATACTCGAGAATAACAATGACAATAGATCAACATTAAGACGTAACTGGAAACGTAACACGGCCATTCCTTTTGTAATATACGTATAAATATCAGTTCTAAACTGAAATTTCATAGTCCAAGGAACAGTGAGTGATCTTAAGACATCGCTGTTCGATTCTACCTTGAAGCATCAATCAGCAACCCCTGCAATCAAGGGAGAGCAACGGCAAGCGAGAGGACGTCTCCATGGGAATTTCGAGAGGCATCCACCACTCAATTATCTGCCACCATACACATTCGAGATCTTATCGATCTATAGAGGTCTCTACTCGAACGAGAGGGTCAACAGGAAATTTCTGCGGAAATCTAGGATCGCTTTAACAAATATAAAAAAACTTATTAATGAAGTAATATTAACGAATGATGAATGATTGCTAATTATATTACATCAAAAACTGCCAATTAAAAATACAATAAAATTACTGTGAATAACTGGTAATCGATTTTATATTTCTATATGAAATATATCATCTGCTTTTTCGCTTATCAGATATTCTCTTTCACTATCGGAATAAGAAAAATATCCATTATCTCCATTATATATTAGAACTGACAGTGAATATTAACGTTCTATGGCTCAGACGTAAACAAGCTTGTCAGTATCCGAGTCAGAATTATCTGCGTTGAATATCAGCAAATGTCGAATATACAATTCGATTTCATTCGTCCCTGAATGATTCTGAGCAACGACCGTGAATGCCTAATGAGCCATTGTTCAACGCTGACATACTACTATTGGTGTTGCGCGGATAGTATCATTGTTATTCCCTATACAATTTTCATGTTGCGTTTGGCTCATCATCTGTCGTTTTCATATAAACTTTAAGATTCTCTAATGCACAAGAAGATGTATTAAAAGTTTCATATGTCCTTTTTGCAATTTTTATTATAGCTTGGATGTGAAATTTAAAATGTAAAATTTACTCTACGTTATCTCTTTTCTGAAAATGTCAAGTTGTAAAAAAGCTGTCACATACAAACCGCGGTTATTTATGTACGATAAAATCTGTAGAAACATGCGCGTATATTCTTAATATTTTTTTTCATAGCATTTAATATTTGCTGATACTTTAACTGTTGTCACTCACTTGTTGCAGATGCTGTAGTGATGGACAGCGAGGGTACTTTGGGCCGCGGTCATGCAAATGGGGGCCGTGGACTGCGCCGTCAACGGTCCCTGGAATGGAGAGAACGGCGCGGTTATGGAGCTAGTGCTCAATCCAGTAGCGATGATGAAGATAACGCACGTCACGCAGTGGGGTCCGTGTCGAGTTCATCTGTTGCAAGAGGCGCACGTAGTCCCGGTCAAGTCTTTGCCTCCATTTTGGCACAACAATACGGCAGTAAGTAACAAAGTCTAATGTTTTCGGTAAACTTAATTCTTTTTGAATTTTTAAACTTACTTTTTTTGACAAATGTAACACAATAAATCTATATCTTCATTCGGATATTTATAGAAAATGTTTATGCAATTTTATTATTACATTATGTGTTGAAATACGTTTAATTATTTATACGTTCCTTATTTTTCGTTAGTTTTAAATTTATGTTGCATTCGATATAAAATAACACGTGCTGATGTGAATAAGCTGACGAGGAAATAGACATGTTATATTGATACGAGTTACATTTATATTTGCTACATATTATATATAAATCTGTCATAGTCCCGTGTTTGTTATGTTCAAACGAAACGATATGTATATATTTGCAATCTGTACCGAAAACGTGATTCTGCCATCACTATGCCGTTGTTGATTTTTTTTATCGATATCTATTTTTGATTTACAGTTGATCCTATTTTCACAACTCCAGTGACGTAATATTATGATATTTGTCCGATATAATGATTTTTTGAGAGTTGTAATTTTAATTTATTGATACAATCAGTTACTTGTTTTACTACAGAGAGTTTTACTTCGAGAATATCTTTAACGTTTAATATTATGAAATGTAAATCAAATAATTAGATTTTAGGTCAAATAATTAGGTCAATAACAGATATAATACAAACTAATAGATTTCAATCATAATAACTAGAAATATGTTACGTTAATATTGACATAAAGCTAAATTTCCGCTAAACAGAGCACAAAATCTCTATAACATAAATTAATTTTACTATGTAAATTTTACTGTGTAAGAATAATTTCAATATTTTGTCAAGGGCTTTTAAGTACAACTGATATAATAATTTATATTTCCTGAAGTATCTTCGATTAAATTGTATTCCATCAGACTATCCTGAAACTCGACTTAAAAGACCATTAACGAGGAAAATCTCTAAACTTAATGAGTTGTGTATTTCAACAAGGACCATGGAAATTCAATACTAAATTTCATGCATGCATATATATAAATAAATGCAACATATAAATAAATAATAAATAAATATTATGCATATATATAAATAAATGCAACATATAAATAAATAATAAATAAATACTATCGATTATCCTGTTTTTGTGTACGATTGCGTGACGTAGCTTTACCAACTGTTTTAATTGCGGCGCGTCAGATTAAAGTTGCTTTTTTTCCTCTATTTGATCCGGTATACCAATAACCAAGTTTTACGTACCTCGTTCATCATATTCCATCAAACACCCAGGAGCTCGCCCATTCAAACCGCTTCCCTTAATCTCGCCTCGGCTTTCCACCAAACGCGTAGATTAAAGGATTTACGAAATTAGTTTTACTTCCTCGCGTCGTCTACAAGCACTGCCGGATATTACGTTCGAAGACCAAAATCAAGATTGCTGCACGCGCGCGCGCACAGTGTAACCTTCTTCTAATATAATATCTAATATAATAAGCGAGCACTTTGAAAAGTAAATGAAGCCTCGCGAACAATAACTCGCGCATACATATTATGTACTCGAAACAACAAATTACCCCTTTCGTACATTCTGTTATACAAATGTTACCGTGTATCCTGAACGCGTGCCTCGTGTGATGTAAACACATTTCAGTTCAAACGATGATACAACGAATTCTGCTTCAAAGAATAATGCAATAAGCCTGGATAAGTTGTCTTATATGGTATTCCCTTATCTGCTCCCCTATATCTCTTTCGTCATTTCCCTCACCGCACCTCGATTCCCACGTTTCATCGATTCGTCTTGAGGTCGAACAAAGTAGGGAATGCTGCGCGTACATTCGACGATAGGGACGAACTCAATTAATACTGATACTTCGATTTATACTATATTTCTTGGTTGTGGTATCAAGCGAGAAAGAAAGAAAAAGAGGAAAAGAGAGCGAGAGAGGGAGAGAGAATATCTAGCAGTCCACCTCACGTCTGTCTGCATTTGTTCCAATTCACTTGCTGCCGATTACCGCGCTGCCTCTCCGCGCCGAGTCCACCTCGTCCCGATCCCATGTCGTCGTCCTCTACCCCATTTTCATCCCTATTCTCCCATTTCCTCTGCCCTGTATCTTCACCCGACCCCTTCCCTCGAATCCATCTACCACTCGACTCGTGGGCACGGCGTAGTGTCACGTAACCGCACTCGAAATGTATCGAAAGAGGCGATGTACTGACAACGTAACGACTCGCCTTTACTCGCCCGCAGCTTCTCCTGCTTGTTCAATTCTGTTTCCGCGCGCCGTCCTCTCGTCCGCCCATTTGATACGCACTTTACCGTAAATCGATATTATGCAGCTTTCCGACGTTTCCCGTTTTAGAAAGGATGGCCGCGTGGATGTTGTTTCGAAATCTCGTCGTTTATTAATTCATTTTTCATTCGCTCACAATTTTTTTTTAATTAATGGACGATCAAGGGGATTTCATTTGTAATATCGATTGTATGGTTCGAGTCATAAGATATTAAAATTTTAATCATTAGTCTATGATCTTTATTGTCGATAATAAATTTATAAAAATGTATAAAAATAGTCCGATAATTAAAATCACTTCATATAACTGATAGTGTATTGTGATAAAAAATTAAAACATTAAAACATTAAAACAAAAATTAAACATTTTAATATATTTTACCAAATCATATTCACGTTTTAGCCTCTTTATGATTCCTCAATATATGTCATTATCATCTCTACGATATAATGGAAAAAGATCTCTCCTCGTTCCCATGCCTTCTTAGCCAGGATCAAAATACCTATTATAGCTTTCCGTCAGACATGAACGAAAGTACCGTCTCTTTATTAATGGCATCCGATGTGTCATGTTACAAGAGGGCCCAAGCGTCGATATAGATGATGGCTCTTAATCTCCGTCCGCACAGTCATCAATATATTGATGTCCAGGCGTGGGGTCCTATCTCCAAGCTACCCGGCTGGACCAGGTCGGCTTAGACATTATATTGCCAGCTCATTACCAGCAACGGTTCATATCACGCTTTACTACCTTCCGGAAAATGTTGTCCACCGAAATGACAATGTGCGCAGAAATCTCACAATACGATGATACTATATACGGTGTTGCGTTATACCCCCAGAGATTATATAAATTGATAATTTGATATGATGAAATATATATATATATATATATATATATATATATATATATATATATATATAATAGCAGTCTCCGGGATTATTGCGCGAGTGCACGCCTATCTGTTTATCGAACCGTTTCATTCGCGTTAATCAAATATTGTTTATACGTTATTCAGTATATGAAGAGAGGTATTGATACATTTGATTCATATATGTTTATTGTTCAATATTTCGAGTCATTTTTCCATTCCAATAAGTTTTAGAATCGATACATCGTATAATCGATCGAAAGCTGCGCGTGCGCAGCTTGTTGTCATTTATAAGCTGATGCAGCGAATCTTGAGATTACAATCACGCAAGACGTATCATGTATTTATATTTGTGTGAAATATTTACAAATCGCACATCCTGTTAGGTTTTGCGAATAACGATTGGTTGCAAAAAGTGTCACGACCGACATGAATAAAATAAACTTGAAGATATCGTAGCAAAGCGTGTTCTTAGTATTAATGGAAGCGGTAGCGAGAACTAAAAGCCGACTGCTTTCCTAGCTAAGACTCGAGATCTAACCGCGCTTGAGCTTTCCATCTGGCCTCCGAGCATTTTCAAGTTACTACATACCACGGACTCTTAGCTCCGATGTATTCTCAAGGATTTCAGAAGACGAGGTTAAGCCATGAGTAAATTTTTAATGGTCAGATGGAAGTTCCAGCTTCGCGAAGTAATCGTATGGTATACGCGAGATATCGGATAGAGAGATTAGTTCGGAATTCACGAAGATATAACCAAATCATTATAGCGCTAGAGCATGACAGTCTCGATAAAAAAAATTCATAATTTTTTCGCCGTAAATCGTCTAAAAAAAATGTTATTTTAACTGTAATATTAATTTAGTATATTATATCGATACACGAATTTATAAAATAAATTAATAAGTTTCGAAATATTTAAATTCTTAAAGCGTATCTTTCCTTATTTCGAACGAGAAACGAATTAAAATGAGATTGACTTGGTATTCCTAATTTTCTACGAATTGCTATTTTTGCGCAAATGTTATTAAGACTTTTAACTACGAATACAAAGATTATATAATGAAATTCTTACTCGAGTCGGCATACACAAATATATTATTTACATATATTTATGTGTGTATGTGCGTTGGAAACTCTAAGATGTTAACGTACAGGATTAGATATCTGTTCTTGTAACGAGTTTGGAAAATAGGTTAAAGCAGCAGTCATTAGAAGATAATGCAAAAGTTTCACCAAGAAAGAAAACAACGATCTACCACGTCTTCACTTATTCTATCACATGAGAAACTCACACACTAGCGAGCGTCAGAGCTAGTAGCTATCAGAAGGAATGAATAATTTAAAGATGTCGGATCGCATGATCGAAATTCACATGTCTAGGAATCGCTTTGAACGTCAAATTACGAGGGGGAAGGTGGTCCTCTCTTCGTGCGATCGCTTGAATAATTGCGTTACAGACAGTCAATCCATTTAAATCACTCTATTGCCGACAAATGGTTCATTAAAATGCAGCGAATCGAATTCCTGTCGCGCCAATTGCGTAACGTAACGGGAATATCCCGATAAATTCTAATAAACCTTGTCGATGAACTTGCTGCTGGTGGTTGAGAGAGTCGCTGATCGCGTTCGTGTACAAACTAAGTTTGCATTAAACATCACGAAATATTTTTTGACATACATTTGTATTCATTAATGTTCAGAATCATATTTTTGCGAAGCAAAATATATAATGCATACTGTTTCATAATCAAAATTATATTGCTGTCCTATTTACTTATAATCAAGAAATAGAATCGATATAAAATACCTGCAGAAAAAATGTAGCTTATACATAATGTATTGCATTTCTATTC